TGAAAAAAAAAACAACAACAACAACAACAACAAAAATTTGACTGGCTGCTGCTCAACCTCCATGGTGAGCTCAGTCGGTCGTCTGAGGACTGGCCGTCGATCTTCGGGGTCACGGCGTGGCGTGTGTGGCGATGGAGGAATTTACAGTTGTTCCAGGGTGAGGAGACGACGGGATCTCAGCGGCTTCGGGAGGTGGAGTCGCTTGTCCGTATGACTAGCCGTGCGGTGGCTAGCACCACATTGAGTACTCGAACTTCCCGCGAGCTTCGTTGGATTGCGTGGACTCCGTCGGGGCTGAATGAGGTGAAAATTAATACCGACGGGAGTTTTGACCCCTCATCTGGTATGGCTAGTGCCGGTGGAGTGCTGCGAGATTGTCATGGCCGTTGGCTTAATGGCTTCTTAATGAACGTGGGGTTTTGCTCGATAATAGGCGCGGAACTTTGGGGATTGTTTCAAGGTCTCTCGTTGGCCTGGGATTTGGGCTATCGCCGACTGATAGCTGAAGTTGACAATCAAAGCATTATCGGCATGGTTCAAACGGATTGCCAGTTAGGACCTCACGGTGGGCTTTGTTGAGGAATAAAGGACCTTTTGAGCCGGGACTGGGTGGTCACTCTTCAGCACAGCTATCGGGAAGCGAATAGGGTAGCGGATTTTTTGACATCATTGGCAGCCAAGGGGCCGAATGGACTTTAGGCTTGACGATCCTCCCCCGGGAGCGAGTGCATGGTTGAACCACGACCGTTTGGGTATCTCTACACCTAGATCGGTTATCATTTAGGCGTGTAGCCTCCTTCTTCGTACCAAAAAAATAAAAAAAAAAAATTGAAAATTATTTGGTATACACATTTAAAACACCTGGTTCTGGTTGATAGATAATGACCGACTTTTTACCGTTCCCTCGGTTATATCGCTGTTCGAACTAACCACAAATAGACTGCCACTACTCATTACTTGATAATAATGCACTCTATCACATGCTAATTTGGAGTGTTTCAACCAACCACCAAAAAGCTGTGCGCACAACATATGATAAAAATTATTCTACGTGACACACACATAACGCGGCTCCAAGAAAATTTGTTGCGGCCTTCGTCACGTTTTCAAGAGCACCAACATCGTGAAACTTAGACGTCAATCTCATCGGGGCTAACGATACCCGAAACAAACGATCTCTCATAAAAATCCACAAAAACCGATGCAATTCCTAATTTTCCATAACAAAGGATCTCTCGTAAAAATCCACAAGAACCGATGCAATTCCTAATTTTCCATATTGTCAAGCATAGCCAAAAACCTGTGAGGCCACGACACGAGAGTCAAGAGACCTTATAGAATGTTCTGGTAAATCATTGTGTTTTTAGGAGTTGTATTCATCATGTATTATTTTTTTTTCCAAAAAGTTGAAAACTTTGGTTATTTGATGATATTGGATTTTGTGGAACACTTATGTAACATCTCACAATTAAGACATCTTCTGATTTGGAATATTTTGTCCCTTTTGAAGAAGACAGTTTGAAGAAAAGAAGATATTCAAGAAAGTGAGAACAAGCAGACTACAATAATAGAAGAAGAAATGAGATGTGAGTATGATTTATGTTGAAGTGAGATCTATAAAGAGAGAAACGAATCCAATGCATTTGTCATCCAATGCAAATTAATTTTTAATTTATTCATTTGTCATCAACAGAAAACGAATCCAATGCATTTGATGACAAATGCAAATTAATTTTTAATTTATTCATTTGTCATCCACATAAAAGAATCCGATGCATTTGTCATTGTCCAAAAAATAATGTGAATAAATAAATTTTTGCATGGCTTTGTCTGAAAAAGAATCCGATGAAGAAAACATTTATTTCTTTTATTCATTCATTCGTCTATATAAACATGAAACCATACATCATACCATCTAAGCTACATATTACATTTATTATCAAATATTTATGTAATACTTCCCTCTAATATCATTCAGAATGAATTATCTTCCTCCCTATAATTATGATTCTGATGAGGAAGATGCAAATGCTTCATTACCTCTTTTTGATAAAACCTTGTAAACAACCACCTCTCATATATTGCAAACCAACAATTTTTTTATGGCACATGCTATCTCTGCGCAAAATAGCCAACCAACTTGAGGTGGTTCTGTTCCAGGACATAGAGTAGTCCATCGTGATCGGGAGGAGGCCCATCGCACTCTGTTTCGATATTATTTTAGTAGTAATACAACCTACGATGCAGATACATTCCGTCGTAGGTTTCGAATTTCTATTCATAATTCTAAGCGTGTTATGCAAGCATTGGAAAATCATGATAGTTTTTCCCAATAATGTCGGGATGGTCTTGGTTGACTTGGATTGTCAACATATACAAAAGGGACGACGGCACTTCGTCAGTTGGCCTTTAAAACCCCTGCAGATGGTGTCGATGAATATCTTAAGATTGCTGAGTCAACGACAAATGAATGCGTAAAGAGATTCTGTCGTGGAGTTGTTGAAGTTTTCGGAGCACAATATATGAGATCACCAAATCACAATGATATCGCTAGGTTGTTTCATATTGCTGAACAACGTGGTTTTCCAGGTATGTTAGGTAGCTTGGACTGCATGCACTGGGAATGGGAGAACTGCCCTAAGGCATGGGCTGGTCAATGATGCGGATATATTATTATTATTATTATTATTATTATTATTATTATTATTATTATTATTATTATTATTATTATTATTATTATTATTTTATTAATATTTAATAAGTGTCTTAGAGAATAAGTTAGGAATTTAGTATTATTATTTAATTATAAGAGATCTTGTCTTGTTGGACAAGTTAGGATTATGATTATGAGCCTTATTTAAAGGACTCATCATCTATTGTTTTATTTGGACAAGTTAGGATTATGATTATGAGCCTTATTTAAAGGACTCATCATCTATTGTTTTATTTAGTAGAATTTGATGAATGAAAATAATTGATCGTGGTTTCTTTTGGGAGAGTATCCCGTGTTCTGGAGAGAGTATCTCCTTGTATCTTCCCGCTCGTTCACGCTCTTCCCTACATCAGTTGGTATCAGCAGTCAGTACGATTCGCGATGTCGCCGGGACGAGAAGATGCTGTAAACAAC